ACAAACACCACATATTCCAAGTAATAATCATATAGTTCACAGATACACTTTTTAACATATATTTAATAGTTATATTAAAATCATGTTCATGGAAGAGACTATGCACTCACCTGATAAACTGGGTGACTAATGATTTCGGTAGCGCTTCGCTTCGCACTTCCAAAGAAACCTAGGCGTATTAAGCACTAAGCCTTAGTCTAGTTCCATAATCCTGGCGACTATTTAATCATAGTCTAGATTCCTCAATAATCTCAATGTCTACACCAAGATCTATCAAGTAAGGAATAACCAGGTAGGATCATCTTGTAGGTAGGGTCCATTTGGTATACATAATATACTGTTTGTAAATCCCACTTTAAACACCTTACTAAATCTAGCCTAGACATCACTCCCGTAAGTAGATCAATCAGTATAATGACTTGGAATCACTGATATATCTTAATTATAGTTTCATAATGACGACTATGACTATAACTAAAAGTTACACTTAGATAAAATAGGTGTAACTTAACTTACAAAGTAATCTAGTGAAACCGGGGATTATGCAGACAAAAATCTGATCTGGGAGTTGTTGGATTAGGTGTCTAAGCCCATAACTATAATTGGTATGTACTTGAATTGATAGTAGCAATGTCCTTTTGGGTTGCCTTCAAACCTGGCAATTGAATAGGATGACGTTAGAGAGAGAAGAATGATTTATGAATTTATTAATTGGTTAATAAATTAATTAGAAATCAAAATAAATGATTTATTAATGTATTATGGAAATAATATATTAATTAGAAATCATAATGTTTAGTTAATATTTAATCAGAAATCAATTTGGAATTAATTTTGGGATTAAAGGAGTTAATTGAAACTGCAGGGACTAAAGGTGACAATGTTTAATAGTTGAACATTGGGAAATTTTAGAACCTCCCTAAAGGGGGTGAACGAAATCTATATGCTCCTAGGGTTTCCTTGGGCTCTAAGGGTGCCTTGGATGCCTTAGGGATGAAGTTAATGGATTTCGTCCAACACTTGATTCCTTAGAGGAATACACCTGCCTTATCCAATAC